ACTAATTAAAAGCATACGATACCTCCCTCTGTCTGCCACACTTCCATTTCACCGTCGATTCCTTCTCTTTTCATCTTTCTCTCTTTGTTCTCAAATTCGCTCTCTCACTCTCTGTTCTTTCCAAATCTCATGAAAACAAACAACAACAATCCTGCTTTCATTCTCACGGCTCCGTCCCGACTTCGTTTGCATAACCTCAAAACTCTGATCCAAACTTTTTATCTCTCGTAAGTCACTTATTACGATTCTGTTTCAATAATCACCTCTCTGTTTCAACTCTGTTCGGTTATAAAGTTTTTACGGATTTGATTTCAGTTTTTCCAAGAAAAACAACAATCAATCAACATAATCACACCTAAATTTGTAGCTTGAACAAAAGAAAGGCTAGAAAATAAATTAAAAATTCATCGCAGGTAAATTTTTCTCATATACTTCTATTGTTGTGTCTTAAATCAAAAGTTTTCATAAAAACTCTATAATAACACGAATCAATTTATTTAATATCTTACTTTTAATCTTTCTATAATCTATAATATAAGAAACATATATATATCATAGAAATGATATTTATGCCATGTGTTACTATTAATTATTATTTTATATTTTTTTAATATTTTTTTATTAATCATTATTACGCATGTAAATTGTTTACGTTGTCCTTGAAATTAAATCTCTAGTTAAGTATAAAAATTAATAGAAAAGAAGGGTATGCACTGCGCTTTCTTCTCCCAGCATTGCATTAGCGGTTAGGGTTTGCAGTTTCAGTGTGTGTGACTGTAATCTGAATGGACACAGAAGAAGACCCTCCTCAAAACTCAGCTAAAAGGTCAAATTCCTTACTCATCCATTGTTTCTTTTTCATTTTTTACTTTTGATTTTCCACAATGATCATTATTCACGCTTTATCACTATTCAGTTGAAATCTAGTCAAACAAAATAATTAGGGTTTTATTGTATTCAATTCCTTGATATGTAAGAATATTCCAGTTGTTTTTCAATTTGTGTGTGCTAGTTGAAAATAATCAGTATCTTATAGTATATAATCATTTCTCAAACTTGCTTTAATATCTGATCCCTTTTCTGCATGTTGTAAATTTCATTAAAATGTAAATAAATAATAGAACCAATAGAGTCTTATGGAGCTTAATCAGAGGTTTTGGGTTCGAACTCGATCTTGGGCATGCGTTAGTGTTAAATTCTTTGCCGCCCAGTGTGGTCCTCCCTGACTCGAGAGATTAGTCTCTCAAGTTGCACGCAGAGATACCCAAAAAATAGAATCTTCTATGATCTTCATAGTTGAATTGAAAATTTATTTAGTTGTATGTGATTATTTAATAATAGCTAACTTCTTGCTACATAATACAGACAGAAATGCTCAGCATGCTATAAACAATATAAGAAGAAAGAACATCTTATTCAGCACATGAAAACCTCTTACCACTCTATCCATGAGCCGCAATGTGTGATCTGTAGAAAGCACTGCAAATCTTTTGAATCTCTGAGGGAACATCTTATGGGTTAGTTATGAGTTTGTATATTCGATCCGATTTCAGCATCATTCATGGCTTGGAGTGTGTATCTAATTTTTCATTCTTTTTGTGCCCTTTTTTGTTTTGATAATGTTTTAGGACCTTTGGCTAAAGGACTTTGTTCAGGGATTTTCTCGCAAGGGGGTTGCAAACTTTGTTTGACCCTAGCTGATAGTCCTGCTTCTCTCAGTGAGCATAGAGAAACTTGTTGCCTATCTGCCCCTGTTCCTCTTGTAAGTTGGTTATTAGCAACCGGAATGAAATAAGATATTTGGTGTCTTTTATTCAAACCAAGCAACCGAAAATTTCTGCTTACAGTTGATGTTTCATGTGTCTTTTGTTTTGTTATTGTTAGGAAGTTCACTTTAAGTGTCGAACTGTTGCAGGGCACAAGTGAATTGCCCTATACAGACTCCAATATCGATTTTCTGGATTCTTATGATGAAAATGATGCTGACCGGCGTCCTAAAGCAATTGCATTGGACTGTGAAATGGTTGGTGGTGGAAGTGATGGATCTCTGGAAGTTTGTGCTAGAGTATGCTTGGTTGACGAAGATGAGAACTTAATCTTGCACACATATGTAAAACCTCGACTCCCTGTTACAAATTATAGGTATTTCATCCTTAAGCATGATTGTTCTTCTTTATTGTCAAAACGAAATGCTGGATGAAGACCAATCAGTGTTAGGGTTGGCTCTGTTTGACAATTTTCAGGTATGATATAACTGGGCTGACCGAAGAGCATCTTCGAGATGCGGTGCCACTTAAGCAAGTTCGGGAAAAGATATTGCAAATTTTATACAATGGAGAGTCCATTGCAAAAGTTAGAATGGATGGTGGAAAGGCCAGGCTTCTTGTAGGGCATTCTTTGGCATACGATTTGGATTGCTTGGAAATGAGTTACCCTGATCATTTGTTGAGGTAGGTGTTACTTTACAACCAATTATTTCAGTTATTTTTCTGTTCAGCCCTTTAAGTGCTTGTCGTCTTTTATCCTATGAACGAAATAATCAAAACAATTATTATCGGAAAGTACTGAGTTCCTTATGTTCTTTTCTCATTTTTGTTGCCTACTATACAAGATTATATAAGGTGCATTGTAGAACTGACTTGAACTAATCCGTTCTATTCGGTTGCTTGGATATTTCTTAAGCTGAATAATGTTGTGTTAAATTTTATCTTATTTTGTGTTGCAGAGACACTGCAAAGTACCGTCAATTGATGAAAACAAACGGTTCCAGCCACTCGCTCAAGTATCTTACCAGAACATATCTAGGGTAAGTTGCATTTTCGCCTCAAGCTTCTTCATGTCTTGAATTGCTTCATCGAATCTCGAGTTTTCCTTTCTCTATTATATAATCACACCACTTATCGACATATTGACCTTATTTGATCGACCTGCAAAGATTGCCGAAGTTACATTTCTCGTAGTATCATCTACAATGTTTTAATCTGTCTTCAATATAGTTTTGGTTTTGCTTTTCAGTTATGATATCCAAACTGGCACACACGATCCATTCGAAGATTGCATTTCTTCGATGAGACTGTACAAGAGAATGCGAGGTCAAAGCCATGAGGAGAAAGGCAACGGAAAGTTGACTCCAAGTGACAACATAGTTGAAATGTGTGACAGGTGGAGATCCAAAGAACTGGACAACCTTACTCCAGATGAACTTTACGCCATCTCTGAATCAGACTATAAGTGTTGGTGTTTGGATTTGAAGCCAAAATTGGCAAATGCTTAGGTTATTATGGTCATTGGATCTCTCCATAATACCAATCAATCAGTGTACATTTCTTAGCAAGTGTTTGGATTATCTTCTTTGTGTCAGTGGCATGCTTTTAGGGTGAAGCTACACTTGGTAGCAGAAACTTACACATACTTGAAATCTAAATGTTGCCGTGATACCAAATATACACTTAAGAAACTATCTAATTTTGTGGATATAATTCTATGCACTTAAAAATAAAATATATATTTAGATCGTCACTAGATTAGAGGCTAAATAAATAATGTTTTGAATTATTCAAGTTAAGCATTCATCATACGGCACTTTTATTTTATTTTTCCGTTGAACTTTTATATGGATCTCGTGATAAATATTTTATTTTATTTTATTTTGAAAGGTTGTATGAATGCATACTATTTAGAGGTAGAAAAACGGAATGCATACTATTTAGAGGTAGAAAAACGGATCCGATCCGTTGACATGCTTGTTTTGCTCAGAACAAGTTAAGGTTAAGGTTTTAAGTTTATACTCTTTAATATGTCCATTTTACTTTATCCTGTTTTTTTCTAGCTTTTGCTGCCCGTTCTAGCATATTTGTTTTGCTCGTATTTTGTCGGAGGGAACTAAGACTCATACTCCTTAATGTTTGCTCCGGCTTATCTAGATTTTTTCGAGCTTGTGTAAGCTAACAAATTTGTCACGCCCTCGTGTTTATAAGGTTGATAAAAAATTTATGCTCTCACCTTCACTTATTATTTCAAATATGTCTTTACTTTTTTCACATTCTTATGTTTCAACGATTTCTAAAACAAAAATAAGAGTAAAATTCATTCATATGTTTCAACGATTTTCAAAGCAAAAATAAAGTAAAATTAAAAAGAGTATAAGACTTAAATATATTTAAATATTTTTTTTAAAAGATCAACTTTTTAAAATTACATGAGACCGGAGGGAGTATTACATCCATGTCCCGCTCCGTCTTATTTTACCGACAAATTTAAAGGAGTTGAATAGTAAACTTTGATACTATCTTTACCATGATTTTGTTGAAAACAATACATATTTAATTTAATATTTGTTTAAATTAATTTATTTAAAATATTCCTTTCAGTCTCATATATAAATAATTTTACAAAAGAAAACTTCTTTTTTACAAAATGTCTAAACATACCGTTGAAGTTTTTTGTTGTTCTTTATATTCGAGATCCAAGAGAGTATTCACTAGTAGTATAGTAAAATTTTAGTTTTTAGATACATACCTAGTGTCGGATAATATAGAACATGTTATATACTCAATACTTTTAATTTACAGGAGAAGTGACATAAGCTTTTGTAACATTATTTGAGAAAATTTATAAATTTTTTAATGAATATTTATAAATTATTTTCAATTTATCAACATAAATTTACTAGAATAGTTTGTGAACTATACTTATAGGTAATTATTTTAAGTAAGTAATAATTAAAAGAATTTAAGTATTACTACAGCATAAGTAGATGAAAAAAAAGAGAGTGAAAAATAAATCTTTCAGTTTCTTTTACGTGGTTAACAAACAACAAAAAATTCACCAATAAACAATTCAACGGATCTAGCACTTATTTTTCTTCACAATTTCACCAACCCCAAACCCAAAAAAACCCGAAAAAAAAAAGAAAGAAAAAAAATCGTAAAACCTAGAATCATCAACAAATTTCACAAAAACAACAAATTCAAAGCAAATCAGAAAGAAAATGAATCGAATCAAGAAACAGGAGCACCACCAGGAGGAGAAAACAAGAGTCCTTCTTCTTGATCAAGAAGCAGATCATGAGTATTTCTGAAAGCAGCATGAACCAAAACCACCACAACGCCGATCAAAACAGCGATGAGGATGTTGAGTATCGCGCCGGTGAAGAGAAGCAAAACAACGGTGAGAATCAGCATCAGAACGAGAATGATTTGATCGCTGACGAGTTTTCCGAAGAGAACAATCGGTTCATCACGGAGGAAGTAGAGGAAGAGCCATGCCGCCATGAGAGCGACGAAGACGATGAGCGAGATTGGATGCCATAGGAGACTGAGGAAGAGAACGATAAGGATCAAGATAGCGTAGTTCATCTGGAAGAAGCCGATGTTTGTCTTCACGCGCGAGACGGCGTCGGGGAAACCGGAAGGGAGGTTGAAGGAGCGGAGAGTGAACATGAGTTTCCATGGACGGCGGGTTCCGAGACCGGCTTTGATGCGTTCTTTGGCGCGTGTGATGTATTCGAGGTTCGTTGGTGGTGATGATGAGGTCGGGATTGTGCCGTACGTGGTCATCGTTGGGGTGTGCGAGTGGGAGAGAAAGTGTTTTCGGGGTTTGGTTTGGTGTGAGGAAGACGATTTTCAGAAGGGACTGTTTGTATTGAATGATTATTAGTTCTATTATAAGACGGCATTTTTGGGATTTATTTATTGTATTCTTTGTTTTACTATATGGTGTAATGTGAATATAATGTATAGATATTTGAAAATTAACATTGTTTTTCACACTTCAATTAACTTAATAAAAAATTAGTGTTTAAGATCATTTATTTTTTTGGGATAAGATCTATGTATTGATGAAAATATTGCAAAATTACAAAAGGAAAGGGGACAAGGTCAACCAACCTCATCAAAATGAAGAAAACTTAAAATGTATTCTTTACAAAGTCATTTAATTTTAAGGGAGATGAGAACAACAAAAATTAGGGAACTAAATACTAACATTAACAAAAATTCGATCATCTTTTCTATTAACCACATATACACCAAAATATGTAATGATCTAATTTTTTATCATCTCATTTATGGATCCATTAAAAAATTCATATATATACAGCTCTTTTTGCAAGCTTAAATATATTAAAAATAGATATTTTTAATAAAATTATGTCGGTATTTAGAGGCTATAAACTCTTACAATAAATATTCCAGTCCATAAAAGAGACACCTACTATTCTATTGGTGACACGTGCTCACCTAACCCATAAGATTGAAATAAATACCAATAATCTATTAACTATAAATTGTTTATCAAAAACTTAAAATAATAATAATAATATTTATTTATTTTATAATGAGTGATTTAGTCCATTAAATATATTTAAAAAAAGAATAATATTTTTAACAAAGTAGAGGATATAATTAAAAAATATATATTAAAATTTAAAATAAACATTTATTTTAAAATACTACTTTATAAACTATTATTAATTCTAAGATATAAATTATAAAATTAAAAAATAGTTTTGCACTAACAAATTAATTTGTAGCTTATAACTGATAATAATTTGGAATAAATAATAAAAATAATAGTTGAATTATCTTATAAATATAAAATAATATAATTAATATTTAGTTCAATTATAATAATAGAGAAGAAATTGAAAAAATATAAACAGTAAGTTATAAATTACGAGAATTAATTTATAAAAAAATCATAAATCTGTAAAATCAAGCTTCTCAAATGAACTTTTGTTTTGATGAAGACAAATCATAAGGGATAAAGAAGGCAAAGATTTTTTATCAAACTAAAAGCATCCATGGACAAAGTCTCCCGTTCAAGCTCTTAGTAAATTTCAAGGTATAATGTTAATACTTACTTTGAACTTAAGACATAGATGTTCAATGGTAAAAAGAAATATTTTATATTGTCCAAACCTTTACTCAAGTTTTTCTAAACTAAAAATCATTTTTCACTTGAGTGCAATCGATCTGCATATTAGTGCAATCGATTGCATGCTTCAAATTTTCAAATCTTTTGCTACTGTTTCTCAGTGCAATCGATTTGCATATTTGTGCAATCGATTGCATGCTTAAAATTTTCAAAACATTTGCTATTGTTTCTCAGTGCAATCGATTTGTATTGTTTGTGCAATCGATTGCACTCAATTAATTTTTACTACTGACTTCACATGCAATCGATTTACACTCTTGTGCAATCGATTGCACACTTAAAATATTTGAAATTTTAGCTGTTGAAACCCCGTGCAATCGATTTACACAAATGGTGCAATCGATTGCATGCTGCACGATTTTGAAAAACAGCAACTTTGCACATGCCTGTTCATAACACCTTTTCATGAAAACCTTTCACTCAATCTTGGAAATTGTTCATGATTCATTTACAGAACTTTATGTTGTTTCAAAAGGGTGCTATGAACATATAAATACTCATTTTCAAAATCATTTTAACACCTCTTCCAATTGTATTTTCTGAATTTTCAAAAAACAAACTCAAGCTGTTATACACTTTCATACACAAGTTTTCTGCACACTTTTACATTTTATCAAACAGAAAACTTTGAGCATTATATATCTTGAGTCATTGTATACTATTGTTATTGGAAGAGAAGATCAATTCATATTAAATCACTCATAGTGATTATTACACTACTCAAACTCACTCAAATCAAATATTGATTAATACTTACTTATTTTTCAGGATTGTTGGAAATAAGTTTAAGTGGTTTTATAAATCTTATATTTCCATGATTGTTGGATACAAGAGAAGTCACTTTGAGATGATTGTTCTCATTGGTGACATAGTGAAAATCCAAGAGGATTGTTCTTGGTTTTTGGATAGTTCTTGTTTAAGTTTGTCACAATAAGGAAATCTCTTTCATGTTGAAAGGGGACTGAAGTACTCTCGGACTGTGAGGGGAACCAGGATATATCGCTTGTGTCTCTTTATTTTTCCGCACTTTACTCTTTCATAAACTCACCATAATCCAGAAAAATAATATTCATCATCACTAAAACCAGATTTTTTAAAGTACCTAATTCACCCCCCCCCCCCCCCCCTCTTAGGCGCACTTCGTACTTACAATTGGCATCAGAGCGGACCTGTTCCTAAAAGATCCAGAATGGCTTCCGCAAATCAAAATCCCGTTTTCAGAGATGGTGATAGTAAAAATAAGCCTCCTCTATCTTGTGGTGAATATTTTGACTTCTGGAAAATACGCATGAAGGCACATCTAGAAGCACAAGGAGAAGAAATATGGGATGCCGTCGAGAATGGTCCATTTATCCCTATAACGGTAATCAATGGTGCTGGCTCATCAAAGCCTAAAACTGCATGGGACGAAGATGATAAGAAGAAGGCTCTCTATGATAAAAAGGCAATAAACCTTCTTCAAGGTGCACTAAGCATGGATGAATTATTTTGTGTCTCGGCATGCAAAACAACAAAAGAAATGTGAGATACCTTGGTACAAACTCATGAAGGAACTGTTGAAGTTAAAAGATCAAAACTAAATACCCTGAGTCAAGAATACAAATTATTTCGAATGCAGCCTGGAGAAACCATTCTTGACCTACAAAAGAGATTTGTGCACTTGACAAATTATCTAAGTGCTCTTGGTAAGACTTTGACGAATGATAAACTAAATCTGAAAGTACTTAGGTCCTTAACTAGGGAATGGCAACCAAAGGTAACGACAATTTCAGAAAAGAAAAGTCTCTCCTCCATTACATCCGCAACATTGCTTGGGAAACTTCAAGAATATGAAACGGAACTCGGAACACTTGAAAAACATGAAAATCAAGAGAAGAAATCCAAGAATATTGCTTTGAAGATAGATTCCAAGGAAGTTGAAAAGGAAGACATTCCGGAAGAAGATGAAAGTTTCATGATTCTTGTTAAAAGGCTTGGTAAGTTCTTTGGTATAAATGACAAATCATTTTCTCATTCAAAAGGAAAGAAACAATTCAAAAAAAAAAGGAAGCTTCCACATCAACATAAGAAGTCACATGTTATGAATGTGGTAAGCAAGGTCATATCAAGCCGGATTGTCCGAAACTCTCCAAGAAAGGTGGATACAAAAGCAAAAAGGGATTCAAGAACAAAAAGGCTTATGTTGCATGGGAGGATAATAAAATAACTTCCTCATCCTATTCCGATAGTGATGAAAGTGCAAATCTAGCATTGATGGCCTCACACCATTTCGATGATAAAGACAATGAGGTATGCTTGAAGACCACATGCAATCTTTGGTATCTTGATAGTGGTTGTTCAAAGCATATGACGGGAGACATAAACCAATTTTCAAATCTAGTTCTAAAGGCCAAGGGTTTTGTCACTTATGGAGACAATAATAAGGGAAGAATTCTTGGCAAAGGCAAAGTTGGTGCTCCACCTTTCACATCCATTGAAGATATTTTTTATGTTGAAGGACTAAAGCACAATCTCCTTAGTATTAGCCAACTTTGTGACAAAGGATTCAAGATCAAGTTCACCAAGGATGAATGATTGATAGAAGATGAAGTCACACATGAGGTTATAATTAAAGGTAAAAGAATCAATAATATATATTCGTGATTTCCCTTGATGATACATCTTTGAAGGTAAAATTTCTCATGGCAAACAACGATGATTCATGGCTGTGGCACAAAAGAATTGCTCATATTCACATGGAACACTTGAATAAACTAATCAAGCATGATCTTGTCATTGGGTTGCCTAAGATAAATTTCGTCAAAGATAGACTCTGTGATGCTTGTCAAAAAGGGAAACAAACAAAATCAACTTTCAAATCTAAAAATGTGGTGTCTACTGCAAGGCCAGTACAACTGTTACATATGGACTTATTTGGTCCATCAAGAACAAGAAGTTTCAGAGGTAATGTATATGCTTTGGTTATTGTTAACGATTTCTCTAGATATACTTGAACATTCTTTTTAGTGCAGAAAAGTGATACATTCAAGGCATTCAAGAAATATGCTAAACAAATTCAAAATGAGAAGTCTCTAACAATTTCCTCCATAAGAAGTGATCATGGTGGAGAATTTCAAAATGCTCTGTTTGAAGAATTTTGTGGAGAACATGGAATATCTCACAACTTCTCGGCACCAAGGACTCCTCAAAAAAATGGAGTGGTAGAAAGAAAGAATAGGTCTCTTGTGGAACTTGCTAGAATGATGCTTAGCGATTCAAATATTCCAAAATATTTTTGGGCAGATGCGGTAAGCACGACATATTTTGTTAGCAATAGAGTTAACATAAGACCGATCTTGAAGAAAACTCCATATGAACTCTTCAAAGGGAGGAAACCAAACATTGCTTTCTTTTACATTTTCGGATGTAAATGCTTTGTCTTAAACAACGATAAAGATAACCTTGGTAAGTTTGATGAAAAATATGATGAAGGTATTTTTATTGGCTACTCTCTTTCTAGTAAGGCATATGGAATCTACAACAAAAGAACTTTAACAATTGAAGAACCAATGCATGTATCTTTTAATGAATCTAACCCCTCCAAGGAGGATAATATTGTTTGTGGTAATGATGATGATGAAAT